TGTAGATCACAGTATATGTGCATTTACTTTCACATATAAGTTTAGAATAAGTGATGTAGAGCAAATCTCCCACCACAGTTTTAGTTAGCAGTGGTAGAATAGTTTGATTAGTGTGTGTGTGTGTGTCTTTTCAAACCAGTGTTGACTCCTGATGACTGCCTGGACAAGTCCTGCAGGTTTTTTTGGCAATGTTCTTTGGAGGTAATTTGCCATTGCTTGGGGTTGAGAGAGAGTAACTGGCCCAAGGACACCCTGCTGGCTTTGTGCTGAAGGCAGGACTAGAACTCAAGAGTCTTCCATTTTTTTAGTTAGGAATCTTAACCATTAAACTTCTGTTTGCTGGATAGAAAATGAACTCATCGGGCCACACAAACAAGTGAAACTCCATCCCCTGGATGCAGGCAACCACACTCCCTCCAGTCCATGGAAAAATCTGTCACAATGGAATCGGTTCCTGGTGCCCAAAATGTTGGGGGCCGATGGCCTAACCAATGGCCAGTATATTCCCTAGAATTTCAATGACCTTGATGACCTTCTGAAAGATGTCAAAGACTTGACTCTTCCAATAAGCATTGGACATGGGTGTTAGCTAGACCCATTTAATGCAATGACTGTTTTTTTTTTGTTGGATTTGTACATAGTGCTTGCTTTTTGTTTTTAATTATTAATGTGGTTGTATGATTGATAGCTATCTACCCATAGTCACATCTTGACTAGGCAGCCTTATAAATTGTCATTTTTTTAAAAAAAAAATAAGTTTGGTAAGTTTGAATCCTGGTTTGCTTTTTCATTGCTTACTGTATGATGTAAAGACAGGTTTTTTTTGTGGTTAGTGTATGGCTCCATGTATTGTGCAAATCTACAAATTTCAGGGACAAGGTTATGTGTGTTGTGTGAATATAGCCCATGAGTTATTTTGCTCTTGATTTGAGGACAATCGCCCAAATAAGCTTCTTCTGTGCTGGCTTTATAGAAGTCCTAACTTATGAGCTTCATCCAGCTCATTCTCCTATCTCTAATCCATAAATATCTCCAATACATACTCTTCTTCTTCAAAGAAATTTATAGTTTACTGAGCTCATTTCTGAAGAACAAACAAGCATAAATCCATGTCTAAATGACGGCTTCTTTCAAACATTGTTCTCCAAAGGCAGAAATTGCAATTGCCAATAACTACAAAACCAAGGACTGCTGTAAATTTCATACCATATAGATTTATATCAATATGAAAATACTATACTGGGTGAATAGGCCAGACGTATTATAGGATTTCATGAATCACGACTGAAGTGAGTACTAACATACAGATGTCCTAGTAGATTTACTTATATCCAAACCTGTCATATTTCTGCCTATATTGAAGAACATGAGCACTGAATTTAGAATCAGACATTAATTTTACTGTGTTGTAATTCTGAGGAATAGCTAATGTACGCTATTGTAGAACTACAGCTCCCAGCTTCTATAGGAAACACAGTCAATGCTGGGAGAAGCTATTAGTTCCAGTTCAGCAACATGTGCACAGGTTGCCTATACTTGGCTAGAGATTTGAGCATGCACAAAATGTATTTTCTCCTTTTATATAAATCCTTTGCTTCTTTTACACTGGACCCCAGTGGATTGTTTCTGAGAAAAATAACCCTGATACTGGAATTAAGTTTAAAAATGTCCACCGATACTTCTATGGATCAGGATAATTAACAGTCTGAAAATTATCATTCTTTGTATAAATTTTGATTTTGGAATAACATTATTTTCCATCGTTGACTGTACTGGGAACCCCTTACCTTATCTATGGATGCTTTAGGAGCTTCCACCACAAGAGGACAGTACGTGTATACATTTCTTCGTCTTCCAGGGAACATATAATTGCCATTTATAAGTATGGGGCTCATATGACCTTGGAAATCACAGGTTTAGATTTTACTGGACACAAATGTTTGGATTTGAAAAATATAATAAGCTGTTAGCTTTTTTAGTTTTTGAAACTTAATAAAATTCTTAAAAAATAACTGGCTTCATGAATGTGGTTAACTGATTGTAATATCATGATATGGATATTTCCTGGGAGTTCCTGGTTTTGATTTTCATTACTATATATGTTCATTTTCTTTCTTGGTACTATTTTCCTTGCAGTAACATATAAAAGTATACAGAAACCTTCCTTACACGAATTTTATGAAAAGTCTATTTGAATCAGAATATCAAATGGAGATAGAGAAACTCTCCCATTTCTGTCAGAGCAGCAAGAAAAATTGTTTAATGCAATAATAATCATCAGCAATACTTTTTAAAGATATACAATTAGCTTTACATTTGCAGAACGGTCCTTTTTGCATGGATTCAAGAACAAAACTTTTTCAAAAGGATGTGTCCTCTGACTGTATTTCAGGATTTGTTGTTTTTTTCATCTGGTACCTGATTCTTCACTTTGTGAAGGCTGGCTGCAGATGATTAAAAAAAAACATTGCTGTCAAACATTGCACCTCTCCATTTCTTGACCTTCTGGGAAAGCAGCTCTAAATTAATCTCCTACCAATAGCTTATTGTGGCTTTCATGAGTCTCAGATTTTTGAAATGTACAGCACATCTTTCTGGAAGACAGAAAAGGAGAAATGTGCCATGCTTTTCTTTAGAATGAGTTTGGAAAGTTGTTTTTACAAGTGAACTAAAATCTTTAAAGATATTAATAAGCGGGCAATGAGCATCAATAATTAACACCTATTCTCCACATTCGATATTAGCATTTCAAAGCAATTGTTCTTCCTGCTGCAGCAAATGGTGATACTTTCCATTAATCACTAAAAGGACAAGAGTTGCCTTCCTCAACACACACATCATCCTCTTCCTCAGCACACACATCATTCCTCTTCCATCTGTCACAATGGATATTATTGATCAGAACATGATTATTATTATTATTTGCTCCTTGCTATTTTGTTCTCTTTGATTCTTCTTGACTGCATAACATGAGAAGGAACAAGTTAGGAAAATATTCTTTTTTTAAAAACAACCAGTCAACAAATCAACATTTGTCACATTTAATTAATGTGTATTTATTTGCCACCAGTATGATGGCTTGGAATAGATTCCACTTAAAATCAAGTAGGCATGCGACCTATTCACTAAAGGCTGGACTATTGTTAAATGCCTGATCCTGGATTGTCAAAAGCCAGCTAACACACAATCCGACCCAAAATTACTTCTAATGGTATTGGTTGTTATCTGAAGCAGGAATTCCATAGTCCTACGGCAATCCACCAAAGCTATTTCATATTTCTTTATAAATTGGCATGGAAGAACCAGAGGTCATACATCTTTTGCATCCAACACTTGCATAATTGTTGAACGAACTTTAACAAAAAGGCAATACTCCATCTTGAAGAGTTGTAGATGCCATCTTGAATACATTAGAACATTGTTCAATAAAATAAATAGTTTGTTCAGTAAAGGCATACTAAACAAATGATGTTTCTTCACTAGGCTTTTTAAATATCCTCATTTAAAATAACTTGCATTTTTAATAGTATGAAATGGATTATTTCGCACTATTAAAGGAGTGTTGATTACATTTGGATGCATTGGGAAAGAATGTCTGGCCAAGCAGATCCATTGATGCCTCATTTGATTATTTGCAAGCAAAAGCAAATCATATGAACTTCAATACTATGATTGCTAACTGTTTTGTTATTTCTGTTTGTAAGTTGATTTCACAGGAGCAGTGTCAGAGACACAATGTTCATGTATTAGTCATATTGCTTCAAGCTCAATACTTCCCCAAGCCTTCAATTCAATTCAATTAGTTACTAGGGATTCTGGTTATTGTGGCCCCAACACATTGGAAGAGTGCTAGTTGGAGAAGATTGGCATATGTTTATGAAGGACAGTAGCTTGTAGGAACAAAATCTAAATTTGCAAAAACTGTCTCTTCTCAATTCAAGTACAACATAACATGAAATTGTTCATTGTTTATTATGTGGTAATTTATGTAACCTCCCACAATCATTCTTGATTGGTCCATAATATCCAAACAATATGTTTGTCCCTTTCAGACAACCTGTTGCTGCTTCAAATATTTGCTAGCAGGGTGCGTTTTCTCACTGGCCGAGCTCTGCAGGACATCACGGATCATCTGGCAGGTTAGAAAAGACTATGTGCAGTGTGGCATTTCTTCTGAACAATATTTCTGATAACAGTAGGAGGCAAAGAGCTCCTTTATTCACAGCTCAAGGCAGTATATTTCTATTTGCAACTTTTCAAACTTGAAATGAGAAATGCCTGCTTATTGAGTATATGGGCCAGGTCTTTCTCTGGAGGATCTCTGACTTATTAGCACAGGTATGTCTCAGTCTTAGAGGTGTTGTTTCTAGCAGCACACTGGCAGGACAGTCACTTGGAAAAGATTGGTATAAAAATAAGTGGAATCAGTTGGGCTCATGTTTCCAAAATAGAGAAGAATAGCTTGCAAAAATATATATGGTACATGATTTACTCCACAGAGATTTAAATGTCCCATTCTACTTGTTGAGGGTATTCAACTGAATGTATTTCTAAATAAAGATGCAAAATTGTTTTTCTGAAAAATTCTGTGTCAAGTTTATAAATATTGGATAGAATCAAATATTCCACTTCAGTTGAATTTTAGATACAAACCAATAAATAGGTGTTGTTTCTACTAGCATTTTCTTTCTCCTTTATTCTTTGAATTTTTAATATAGTATAACAGTTCTGGTTTACAATAATTGGAAAACAGTAAAGAAACCATTGAACAAGAAATTGATATAAGCTCTGACAAGAAATCTAATTCAAAACATAATATAAAGGTTTAGAATATACAACTACAATTTAAGAAACTCTATTTTTTTTTCTCCTAAGAAGGAATGACAGGAAGAAGAGAGTTGTAGATAGAACATTCTCAGTAAAATAAACTGGTTTATTAATTTGGTTTCTTGGACCAAATTTGTCATATCCTTTCCAGGCATTTGGATGACTCAGGAATTATTTCTGAAAACTGGTACCTTGCCCTTGTTCCAAACCAATTGCTATGATCTCTTTAATCTATTGGGCAATGGAAGCAAAGGTTTGCCAGAGGTCCAATCCACAGCTGTGAGAACAGATCACAAACTCCTTATATCAGAACCCCAAAAGTGAAACTATAGTTCCTTCAATGTATGCATCCTAAAGCTTATCATGATCATTTTTCATTGGCCACTGAGATGTAATTGGACTCAAGATATCCTCATCAGATATCACTAAAAGGTCACTGGTGTCACTGGTGTTTTGACTCATGGAGTATGCTTTAACTTAGTGTTGCAGTTTAGAAATTTGATATGGACATTTTAAATAAGTCTCTATTTGAAATAGATAACCAAGCCATCTATTATGCTGTAAATCAATCACTAGAAACAGATTCAAGAGCAATAATTTTTCCTGGGGCAAAAAAGCATTGGAGCCACAAAACTGCAATGATAATTATTTAAGATCAGCAGAACTTCCAATTACCAGAATTACCAAATGGCTTTATAAAAAAAACAGTATTTACCCTACTCCTCTAAACCACAGTTTTATACAGTATAAATGAAGTGGCACAACAATGACAGCACAGACTTGTTATTGAGGTACACTTTCTCTCTCTATTTTTTTTACTGCTTATGAAATGTTTTGAATGAAAATAACATTCTTTTTAAAAATTTCTATGGACTGTGCATATCCACTTTTTAAATTAATCAACAGCTATATTTTCAGTTTAAAATTTGAATACATAGCTCTTTAGATTTGATGTAATAAACTGTCCTCCCAAATATTTGAATGAATAATGAATAATTATATTTCTTGAAAACATATATGAACCATTATGCCATAAGCATCCTAAGCCACAGACCAGAGTAACTTGCAAAAAATATCCAGAGGATGTCCTAGAAATTATTATTTAGAAGTTATTATTAGTATAGCTTTTTCAATAAGCAATGAATTTAGCATACATTGTTTCATAATTCTAACATCAAACATATACGGTGGGTCATTATAACTCACCTTGCAGGCTAAGTGACAGCAATTTCTTAAAGTCACCACCAGGCCCATAGCTGCAGTGAGAAGCCACAACAAAAATAACATTCAAAATTTAGCCAGTGTCTTTCCCCTATCCAATGGCCAATTCACCACGGCCAACTTGCCATAGCCAACTCGCCAAGAGACAACTTGCTGAGGGTCAAGAGTTACATTAATATCAAAGATATCGTGGAATAGAATCATTAGAGAATGGATGCAAGAGGAGGGACCAAATGAAATGTGAATGACAAAAATTAAAATATTTTTTTATTTCTTTTAAATAATTACATTGAATAGTTAAAATTATCCTGCGGTGAATTGTCCCATGGCAACAGTGAGTTGGCCGCAGAGAGTTGGCTGTGGCAAATTGTCTCATTCTTCATATGAAAGGTTCATTGCAGTCTACTTCAACCATCCAGGTATCTAAGCCAAATGCATCGAGTTGGGAAAGGCTGGTGTTTTTGGCAAGGAATTCATAAAAAAAATTAGGTTCAAATCATATTTATGTACAGTTTTTGTTTCCAACCTACTGTATTTCGACTTTCCTAGCTTTTAAGTTTGTACATTTCTTTAATAGTCACATGTATGTGTTCTGTCACTGGTTTCTGCAGCTGACTGTACATACATGAAGTCTGTGTCCCTATGTTATTGATATTAAATCTCCACTTTTCGGATGGTCTCATTCTATATAACCATGCAATGTGCCTTTTGAGGCAAAGTGGGTCAGACTACACACTGATCAGATGAGATGTGTGTCCTTCTCGGCACAGAGGCTTTCTAGGCTAGGTTTCACCTGAATGATTTTTTTCTAATAATTTTTGGAGCTAGTCCCTGTTCCTCATGCAATGTGCTGCTGTGGCACATAATTTGCATCTCAGATTGTGGTACCCTATCAATAGTCAAAATCTCAAATAAATAGCAATAGTACTGGCATTGTACTAGCCTAAAGCACTGAAAAGTTTATTTAAACAGTCATACCTTATGTTCTATTACTTGAAAGAAGTTTCCATGGATATTTCCATGGGGATTAATTTCAAGAATTTTAGCAATTCTGCAAGATTACTTGTTCTATTATAAATCTTATTTCAAGTGTTGACAACTTTATTAGAAAAGATGACCCCATGTTCACTCTCTCCCTTCAAACCACTTTATGACTCTATTGCTATGGTCCATTGATACAATCCAATTGGCAAAAATTGCCTATGTAAGCAATCAAGGGATGGAGGAAAAACAGCAATAAGGAAAAAACTGCCACTATTACTAAAGCAGAGAGGAGATTATTCGCCTGAAATATTTCCCTTTTATAAAAAGTACTGATGTATACCTAACACCAACATATGAAGATACCAGGCTGAAATTTAAATAAATGACAGTTATTGTTATCCATTTAATTGCACAATATTAAAATAATTTGAGGAAAGTATGGTATTCAACTGCTTTGAAACTCATTGAATTTGGTACTCAATGCATTTGGATATGAAAATTTTGTCCCGGTATTCGTTTGTTTGGTACTCAATGCACAAGCTACAACTTGTCATTGTCGGCTGCCTTTTTTTTTTTGTCGGCTGCCTTGTGACTCACTACATTATTCCTTTTGGGGAAAAATTGTTTGGTACTCATTGTTTTTAGTATTCATTGCACCTCCCAGAACCAATGAATGATGAGTACTGAGGTACCACTGTAATACAAACATAACTAAGTAAGCAGTTGTTCATTGACAAGGAAATTGTCTTAACAGTTTTTCAAATTTCAGTGCTACATCTGCAACCAAAAAAGTGAGCAGCTATCTAGTTCACTATTTCTCAACCTTCACCACTTGAAGTTGTGTGGACTTTAATTCCCAGAATTCCCCCACCAGCCAAGGCTAAGAAACACCAATCTTGTTATTTAAAGATCTGCAATCTTTTGCTTTCAGGTCTTGTGGCTGTTGCCTATCCACGAAAGCCTCAAGTTGTGGAACGTCTCATCCTTCCTGTTCTCTGGTATTTCCTGAATAACATGATTGGTAATGGGGTATTACCTGGGAAGAGTGGAAACGTTAGAACTGTGGTCTCTAAACTGGCTCAAAGCTTGCACAAACAAATGGGACTGAAACTTGAGGAATATGTTTGCAACCAACCACAACATGTGATCAAACTTTTTCAAGATCTTTTAGATATGGATCGTCAATGAAAAAAACCTGCTACTATATCTGGAACAATTATAGTGGGACATTTTAAAGAGAAGCAAAAAATGGATAATGATACAGAACTTGCCATTACTTAACTTTTTTATTTTTGAAGCGTAAGAGTCTCCTGTTGAAAGCTTTTAGTAATTATGCTAAAATGGAAAATGTATATAATATATTTTGCTGTAGAATTAAATCATCTATTTTTTTAAGGTTTAAGCTCCACCACTTTTGATCCATAGAGATTTCATCAATGATAAAAATGCATAAATGGCACAAATGTAACTTTTATATGTGTAAAAACAGAAAATAATTTATGTAAAATATATCAATATTGTGTGATAAAGTGATAGAGGTAAACTTTAAACCATAATACTTCCTCTATCTCTATGGATTGCCAGTTAGGGAAGATGGATTACATGATCACAAAAAGATGCAAATACCAATTAGTGGTAGCTTCCAAACTGTCATGTAAACTGCCCACTAAAGTTATTCCTTAGATGGTTACTGGGGAAAAAATTGTGAAGGGAAGAAGAGGAAATCTGAAATATAAATGCTTGGCACAAAATGTGTAAGAAATATTTCAAACAATATTTACCTTCCATTCAGTTGATCTGTTATAGAGCTGCTGATACACAGTTTTTCCACTTAGCACTGGCATAGTATATTCTCATTTCTTTATTTTTTTTAAAAAAGCCATCAAGGAGAAAAAAATGGACCACCATACAGTGCCTCTTATCAGATTGGTTTGGTTGCTGTTTGAAAGAACCAAGAAAATCTGATTTATCTCAGTTCCTTATGTGTTAGGAACTGGAGATAATATAACTTGTCACTACTTTCCATTCATTGTTTTTGAATCTGCCTCTCCTCACTTAATTAGCAAAGTATCTATATAACGCTTCCTATAGTAATACAACACAGTAGAGTGGTTTGGAATATCTGGAATTGTCTGGTTGTACTCCCAAAGCATTAGCCTTTGACAATGATTTCCACATTCATTCTGAAATACTAGAAAACAAAATTAATCCCTGTAGCATTTCTATATGGACAGCTGTCACTTGCTAACATGGCATGAATGTCCATCATCATTAGATCAACATTTTTTTAAAAAAAGTAAAATGCATTAATTATTAAAAATACATTTTAAATTTCCTTTATTTGCATTTCCATTTTGATCCTCTGTGTTCAAAGGCAATAACTGTCAGCCCAAAAGGATAGATCAAGAAATCAATGCCATATCGGTCAAAAACTACTTTTATTAGAACAGCTATAATAACAGGCTCTTGCAAGTCTGAATGTGCTTCTCACTCTCTCATTTTATCTCCATGTGAATTAGGGATGGGCTTATCTGAGACATTTTCTCAGATTAATTTCTTGGAATGGATTTAAGGCACGTTTATCTGATCATTGCCTTGGAAATGGACCTTTCCTTTATCCTTCAAGGCCATTCCCCGTTGCCTTTACATCAGTGGTCTGTTTCTAACCGGTTTACTACCAGTTCACTGAGAAGGCGTTTTGCACATGCGCTGCACGCTTCACTCACACACGTTTGTGCGCTGCACATTACTGTGCATGTGCAGTTGACTGAAAACTGTTCTGCGCTTATGCAGAAACATGCAGCAACAGCAGAAGAGACCGGGGAACCAGTTCAGGGGCATTGCAGGCCTGGGTTGCTGCCAGTTCCAGCGATCCAGGCTGCCATACCACTACCGGTTTGGCCGAACTGGGCTGAACCGGTAGGAACCCACCACTGCTCTACATTAACCTGAGAGTGAGGTGGAAAGGATTATCTGAAAATATGCGACTAACATGGGTATTTTGTCTAAACTAGAAGTAATCAACAAAAATTAGAACCAGAGGTTTGTAAATGCCCTTAGATTGCTATCGGTTGACTCTAATGAATGTCTGAAATACAAAAAGCTTACTACCTTAGCCTAAATGTAAGGCCAAATGAAGTATTCTCTCAAACCAGACCCAAATCCTATATATTCCTGAACTATTTTGAGAATGGCCCCATAGATCCTTTGGGATAGGGAGGAGGAGAAATAAGTGGAAAGTAAATGCAATTCTAATAGTAATCAAGTTCCTTATTAAAGTCTTTGACACGAGAGGAGCCAAAATATTTAAAGAAAAACTCAAGTGATATTGCTGTTCATTCATTTGACATTTTAAGAAATTTACGAAGCCAAGGGGGAATGGAATGTGTCAGTTTGGTTTGAACTGTTATAATTCAAATGGTGTGGTGAGCTGTACCTCACCACACCAAGACATGTCAGGAATATTGTGGAAAGCTTGAATCAATATCCGAAGTCTCAGGTAAAATAAGCCCAAGCTAAATACTTATCTCCAGGATTAATTACTGTATGCCAATAAACTTCTGAAGACATCAGTCCCAGTAATTATTCTGAATTAGGTTAAGCCCCCACCATAAGCTCCAGGTGTCTGGACCTTCTCTTGGACTCTTGGATGATGCCTAAACAACAGGTGGCTGCTGGTGGTGGGGGCTTCCCCCAAATTTAACTGGTTACAAAATGCCTACCTGGACCCAGATTCCTGGTAATTGATGCCATAATCTCAATATATCTGGATTACTGTAACATCTGTTATTTGGGATAATATTTTCAATATTTGAAGAAAGAAGTTGCTGGCCCCACTAGGTGGAGCAGATCAGCCTCACAGGATGTCTAAAGTTACTTTTATTGAGATTGATATAATCACAGAATTTTCAAGCCTTATGGTGCTACATGTCCTATTTCTTAAATTTAAGTGAGTTGGGGAGGTGTATATCTGAGCTGGTTATGAATGTTATCTAGCTGTTTTGGACTTTAAATGTTTCGGATCCTTTTGCTTAGATAACAGTTCTTGCATATTTCCATCAAGCTCACCTTCCTTATTCTCTACAGAAGCTGCAATGGTCCAAGATGTGCTGCTGGTGAATCAGTCCTACTACTGCAGGGAGCACCATTTCTAATATTTTTGCACTGGTTATCAATAGGTTTCCAAAATCAACTGAGCCTGCACATCTAGTAAGAACATCTCAAGAGGGTTTGCTGAAAGCTTCCATTTTTGAGAAATTAGCTGGGCATGGACTAGGCCAGGGATCCCCAACTTTTTGGACCTCAGGGACCGCTAAATTCATAATTTTAAATCCTGCAGACCACTAATATGATCTGCCTAATGACCGGTGGGTGGGCGTGGCTAAGTGGTCATGTGACTGGGTGGTCTTGGCCAATTTGATATCACGTCAAGGGGTGCCTCACTAGCCTCTACTCCCCACTCCCCTCCCCACCATTCCTTGCCTGCCCGCCCAGGCTCCTTATGGCCCCAACAGGAAGCAGTTGTTGGAGCTAAGCAGTCACCATGAGAAAAAGTTGCCATAACAGCTGACTGAATAAGGAGGCTCAACAGAAGCATCTCATTGAGGACTTTGAGCATAGGCTTTCCAAGCAGAGGGAAGACCTGTGGGAGGAAAGGCCAGGTTCTGGTGCCTGAAGGATAAGTGGGCTGAGATGATCAGCCAGTTGCAGGCCATGATGCAGTCCCACTGGAAAAAGGCCCTCTAGCCCTCCAGCTCTTCACCACCAGCTTTCCCTCAAAGCCCCACATCAGGAGGCTGCAGCAGACCCCAAGTCAGAATTTCTCCACCCTCTGACCCACACAAAAAGACCCCAAAGGGGGAGACTCTCTGCAGCAACACAAATGTTTATTGCACATTTGGCTCAGGGGGCGTAGTTTGAGAACACCTGATTTAGTGCAATATAAAAATAATTTTTCTGCCGACCACCAAAATTTTCTCGTGGACCACCAGTTGGTGACCATTGGACTAGGTGACAAAGCTTTTCTGAAGGAGGGATTCTATGCTTTAACACTTGTGTGTGTGTGTGTGTGTGTTTTGGAAAATCCCCTCCCTTTTTATGTTCGTGAGACCGATAAAACAATTCTATTCTAACATGCTGATTGTTCAATGGCATCCACCTTGGAGTGAGTCAATTAATTTGAAATGCTGGTTGTAGGTGACTATGCCACCCACATTCTCTGGACTAGTGTAAGTTACACAATCTATACATGAAATAATGCTAATGTGGCTTTGCAACAGTGAGAATTTGGCACAATTACACATAGAGCAACTCCTTAGTGTTGTTCACTTTAAATTCATAAAGGGGAAAGAAATAGTGTTTTTGCTCTGAAAACCTATTAGATGCATGTACAAAGACTCTTGGCAATTTCTAGGTGTATAGCAGTTTTGGATCTTCTCAAAATCCCATGTATTTGGGAAAGACTAGGTTAAATTTTCCTTTCTCTCTAAATTCACATTGTGCAGCTTATGAGTTGACTATGCATATATGAAGAAAACAACTCCTGTTTGAATCCCAATTTCCCTTAAGTAGGGGATACTCCTGCTAATGAAAATAGACAGAAGTCAGTTTTACTGACAGTATTTCCTTTTTTAATGGCTTTCTGGGGAAAAAAAAAGCAAGGTGAAACAGAGAAGGCAGAAGGAGAAGACAATAGCAGGAAACAGCCTCTCCTTTGGATTGGAATGTTTTCTGAGAATAAAAAGACTGCTCAGGGTTAGGGGTAGGAAACAGATAGGGTTACATGGAGTGCCGGGATTTGCAAAAGAGAATTGGTAAATGCTTCCTTCTGCCTTTGATTCTCTTGTAAAATAGTTCGTTCATAAAATAAGTAAACACAGAAAGATAGATTGAGGTGCAGACACTCCATCCATTGACCCATCAACACTATATATGAGAGAGAAAGGGAGAGGGAGAGTGGGGGCATTGAACATTTGTTTTATTTATTTATTTATTAGTTTGTATTTGACCTTTTGCTACCCTGAAAACTGCTTTGCAATTTCTAAAGTTTTATTATTTACTTAAAAAGAATCCTGTTCTGCTGCCTCATTGTCAGGATGCCTGAAAATATGGAACCCTTACAATCTGAAGCTTTCTTTTTGAAGAGGCATTGTGAATCACAATCACACTTACCTAGCACCCACCACAAAAGGATCAGTAAGTATCAGGGCAGTTTAGTTGGCAAGAGTTTTGCAAGGGCTTAAGTTTCATCAGCCTCTGCTAGATTTATCCTGTTGACAGAGTGTGCCAGTTTCTACTCCAATTTTCTTGTTTAACCTTCACAAGGACACAGCAAGCAGCATTAGACTTATACACACAGAGATGCATAGTAACATGGATATAAACACACACATACATGCAGTTACACACAGTATCAAAGAGTGCAGTTCAACTCACACAGAGCACATATAAGGATATAATTCACAGTGTGGAAATGTAAAAAATAATCATTGGTTAGCTAGTTTTAAATTGTCTTGTTATTATGCTGCTACATCCCATTTTTTCTGACCGAGACAAAGAGCAATATATAAGACCATAAATGTAATATTTTTCTTACAATGAATGTGCATTAAAACAGAACTAAAAATTTCAAACTGGGCTCTCAATTATTTGTTCCATTCCTACAGATTAATTTTGAAATGGCCTTTTAACTTTGAAATGGCACCTTGGATGATTTTGTGACAGTCAATATCTCTCACTCCAACCTATTTCAGAGGACTGTTACGAGGATAAAATAGAAAATCCCTTAAGATTACCTTGAGCCTCCAGTGGAAAGCAGATATAAAGGGAATGATAAAATGAATAATAATCAGGAGGAGGAAGGCTTGAATTGGAAGAGAAACAAAACCACGCCACACCACACACTGCTAATAGTTACATACAGCCCTTAATACTTGAAAGATCAAATAATGCTTGAAATATCAAAGATGCATATTGATAAGAATTCTTGGGTCCCAAATAGGCAATATTAACATTTTATATATTAAGAACAAATACAAATTTTTAAATTACATCCAAGAAATTAAATGTTTGAAGCACTTCTCTGTGAACAAGTTACATTATTCAGAGCATTGAAACAGAGGTTCCAAGTCCGTGTTCAGAATTTATATACATGCAATTTGTACATGCATGAAATATGTTAGTCGAGGCCCTAATTTGGAGAATAACAAATGTTTTTTAAAGGAACAGATGGCAAACAATCTGGAAGAATTTTTTCTGGAGATTGTGGAATCATCCAGATATCAGAATGGTCCATATTGGGGTAGATAGAAAATGAGTCTGATTCTGTAGACTTAACTTAGGAGCCATCTTCTCTGATCTCCGAAGACATTCAGGCTATCCAAACTGAAATTTGAGGCAACAGATTTGCAGGCAGTCTTAAATATTGCCATTCCATTCCATAAACCATGGAAAGAACATTTGTTATATGGAAAAGTCTACAATGGGAAGTTTTAAGAAGATCTGTTTTTCCATAGCATCCAATTTAGAGGACTCTGTGTATATCCTGCTTAGTAGTTTTAGTAGTAGTAGTCCGTGCATGTGTGGGTGCATATATGGGAATAGAATTTCCAAATCAAATGCCTTTGTTGGAGGCATACATACTCTTCCAAAGGCAATCAGAAAAAATCAGAATAAATGCAGACAACAATGATGGGAATTGAAGTTCAAGGCCAAGAGTTTAGAAAGGATTACTTTTAATTTGAATATCACATGAGGGGAATATTTTGCAAGATTTGACATCTTCCTCGTGTTATTCAGTAAAGTGGTTTGACATTATGTGAT